CAATAGTCATGGGATAAAAGGACATGTCCTCTTGTGGATCAAAAACTGGCTAATTAATAGGAAACAGAGTGGAGGGTGGTAAGCAGTGGGGTAGCGCAGGGATCAGTACTGGGTCCGATGCTTTTTAACTTGTTCATTAATGCTTTGGAGTTGGGAGTAAGCAGTGAAGTGGCTAAATTTGTGGATGACATAAAATTGTTCAGGGTGGTGAAAACCAGGGAGGATTGTGAGGCACTCCAAAGGGATCTGTTGAGGGTGGGCGTCAACGTAGCAAATGAGTTTCAGTGTGGCCAAGACCAAGTGATGCACCTTGGGGCCAAAAATTCTAACTATAAATACATGTTGATGGAGTCCGAACTGGCAGAGAGAGATCTTGAGAAAGGATATTATAGCACTGGAAAAAGTGTAGAAAAGGGCAACTAAAATGATTAAGGGGTTGGAACACTTTCCCTATGAAGAAAGGTTAAAGTGCTTGGGGCTCTTTAGCTTGGAAGAAAAGACGGCTGAGAGGTGACATGATTGAGGTTTACAAGATTATGCATGGGACAGAGCAGGTAGAGAAAGAAGTACTTTTCTCCCTTTCTCACAATACAAGAACTTGTTATGCCAATAAAGGTTTATATATGTATGTACAAGAACTCATGGGCACTCAATGAAATTGCTGAGTTAGGAAGCACTTCTTCACCCAAAGAGTGATTAACACATGGTATTCATTGCCACAGGACGTGGTGGCAGCTACAAGCATGGACAGCTTCAATAGGAAACTGGATAAACATATGGAGCAGAGGTCCATCAGTGGCTATTAGCCACAAGGTATAGATAGGAATTCTGGGTCTGGAGAAAGTGATGCACTGTATTCTTGGTGCTTGTGGGAGGGCTTCTACTGTCCTGGCCCCACTGGTGGACCCCGATGGCACCTGGTATTTTTGGCCACTGTGTGATGGAGTGTTGGACTGGATGATGGGCCATTGGCCTGATCCAACATTGTCTTTTCTTATGTTCTTAATCTTATTCGTATTAATTCAAAAGTGTCTTTGCACAGTGGTTAAGGGTCCACAGTTTACATGCCAAAGGCCCCTGGTTCAGTCACCACCATTTCCAATCAAAAGGTGATGCAAAAAACCCGTCTGCACCAGATCTGCAGAGCTGCTTCCAGTCACAGCCAACGGGACTGACCATGCTAAACCAGTGGTCTCACTCAGTGTAAGGCAGCAGCGTGTGTTCATCCAATGGGGCTCACTCCCAGGGGCAGCTTTGTCTGACTTGCGTCTCCATCTTATGCTTGTATACTTGGAAATAATTTCCACCGAATGGGGATCTGAGTAACACATGATCTGACTTCAGAGTTGTAATTCTACACACCTTTAACTTGTAGTAAGTCCCATCCAACTTAAGAGGGCTTACTTAAGAGTTAGTGTGCTTAGGATTGCACTGTGTTGTGTACAAGAGATGCAGAAGCTAGTCATGAATGAAATGGGTGAGCAAAAAAGGGGGATGAGAATACCTTCGTTTACAAAAAAAAAATTAAATACCTTGTTGGGACATTCCTTTTCTTTTAAAAAAAATTCCTGTTGTAAATCAGCTCCTGCTAAGTAAAATAAGAAATGAAGCATTATGAAGTTTATGTCCTTTCAAGCAAGTTCTGGCTGTTAGAAGAAGGAGTGACTAGAAAAGATGGAGGAACTTTCTGCCTTGGGGGTCATCTGCATCACTTCTCTGCTTGTTATCTGTTCTTGAGACAATCCTAGGCCGAAGCTGTAATGTCTGGTGAGAATCTGGACTCAAATTTTCACCCAGCTATGAAGCTAATTGGAGAAGCCACTGTCTCTCAGTCAAACCTATCCTACTTCACATGATAGTTTGGGGCTTAGATAGCAACTAAGGTTCCTTGGATAAAGAGTGGGATATGTATGGGATAATAAATAGGAGGGCATATTTGATTTAAGTTGCTCAGAAATGCAGCTGGTTATAACTTATGGATTAAATGTATACGAATAGAGAGGAAAGATCATGCATTGCTTCCATAAGAACAGACTGCTGAGAGAAGCCAGAGTCACTTGCTTATAGCAATTGCTTTCCATGTGTTTGGAAGGGCACCTGTAGGTCTACATGTGTCAGAAGTGTACCAGGTGCTGAGCCAGACGTTAGTGTCCAAAAGTGTCATTTTGTGTGAATCCACATGGTAAAGAAACATGCTTCCTTCTAATAGTTGTTACTTACCCTGTTTCCCCGAAAATAAGACCTACCCCAAAAATAAGCCCTAGCAGGATTTCTATGCATTTGTGGTATAAGCCCTAGTGTGTCTTCTTGAGAAAAAATAAATATAAGACAGTGTCTTATTTTCGGGGAAACACAGTAGTAGGTATAGCCAAGATAAGAGCATAAGAGATGCCAATGTTGGATCAGGCCAAAGGCCCATCCAGTCCAACACTCTGTATCACACAGTGGCCAGAAATACCAGTGCCATCAGGAGGTCCACCAGTGGGGCCAGGACATTAGAAGCCCTCCCACTGTTGACCCCCCCCCCAAGCACCAAGATGACAGAGCATGTACTTCCTTTTATCCGTTCTAACCCGACCGCTCAGCAATTTCATGGAGTGCCCACGGGTTCTTGTATTGTGAGAAAGGGAGAAAAGTACCTCTTTCTTTACCTGCTCTTTCCCATGCATAATCTTATAAACCTCGATCATGTCACCCCTCAGTCGTCTTTTCTCCAAGCTAAAGAGCCCTAAGCGCTTTAACCTTTCCTCATAGGGAAAGTGTTCCAACCCTTTTATCATTCGAGTTGCCCTTTTCTGCACTTTTTCCAAAGCTATAATATCCTTTTTAAGGTGTGGTGCCCAGAACTGCACACAGTATTCCAAATGAGGTCTCACCATTGATTTATATAGGGGCATTATTATATTGGCTGATCTGTTTTCAATACCCTTCCTAATAATCCCCAGCATAACATTGGCTTTTTTTATTGCAGTCACACACTGTCTCGACATTTTCAGTGAGTTATCTACTACAACTCCAAGATCTCTCTCTTGCTCAGTCTCTGCCAGTTCAGACCCCATCAATGTGTATTTATATTTAGGATTTTTGGCTCCAATGTGCATCACCTTGCACTTGGCCACATTGAACCCCATTTGCCATGTTGACGCCCACTCGCCCATCCTTGACAGATCCCCTTGGAGTGCCTCACAATCCTCACTGGTTTTCACCACCCTGAACAACTTCGTATCATCCGCAAATTTAGCCACTTCACTGCTTACTCCCAGCTCCAAATCATTAATGAACAAGTTAAAAAGCAGTGGACCAAGTACTGATCTCTGCGACACCCCACTGCTTACCCCCCTCCACTGAGAGAACTGCCCATTTATACTCACTCTCTGTTTTCTATTAATTAGCCAGTTTGAGCTTACTTAGGAGC